GCTTAACTTGCGTATAACGCCATGGTTGTATCTAATACTTCAAAATACTTAATGAAATAAATTATGTAGTTTTATATCACGTATTTTGGTAAGCTCAATCGGTATGCAGAGCCCCATAGTAATTTTCTTCGCCTTGTACATTTTGGATACTTACTAAGGTGCGTAAGTATAAAGTAAGATGTGTATGTTATAAATAAATAGTTTTTACTCAAATATTATTGAAGGTAAAAGACACCCACATAGCAAATTGACTTGCGGTCTAGTGCTGGCTAGTTATTCTGGTCATATAATGTGCCATTATTGTTTATACCATTCAATATAAGTTTATAGCGATATGTTGCGTGCTCTCAGGTAGTTCTAATGATTCATGTTACGCGATTGTAAATGGTAAATGTCGAAGATGTTATTTGAATTGCTTATGCTTCGCAGCTAGTTGCACTGACTTGGAATAGCTTACGGCGATTTTTAGCGCAATAATAAATAACGACTGAGAGATATAATATTGAATAGGGCTCACGATCTAGTCGTTGTTAGTTTAAGTACAACGGGTTTGTAATATTTATTGTGTCACCGTTAAAAAGTCGAAAACTACGTTACTTTTAGGTAGGAAATAGTTTGTTAAGTCCTAAAGTATTGATATATTTCTCTCTATTATTATTAGGACCATCGATCATTATGTTATTGCTTAGTTAATATGTTATACATATCACGTATTTGTTACTTTGCGTTGTAAATAACTGAAAATAAGATTTTTCTGAAAAAATAATTAATCATTCGATATGATAATAGAGTTAGTGCGGTGCTCTAGTGTTCTATGGACATTTCAGAAGACTTGTTAAGTTCTTAATTTTGTAGTCTTATGTATGTTATGTCCTTTTTACTTGTTCTAACAAGCTTAATGATTTGCAAGAAACTCACAATGCTTGGTCGTGTTACTAAATTTATAAACATTAACAAACGTGACCGAACTATTCTCAAATGCGATTATTAGTCGATCAACACAAATGTTTTGTAAACAATGAACGGAAATATACAACTTAAGAAAACCACTGTAAGCGTAGATGGCGTCTAATTAAAACGTACAAAACATGATTCCCGAAACGTATTACCGAATATTTTTCTCTTTTATAATGTTTTCTTTGTTTGCCCTTTGTAAAAGTTTTGATGAATACAAACCAGACATAGCTCGACTTGGTAAAACAAAGAAATCCAAAATGGGTAAGTTTTTAACAAAGATTTGTGATAAAAAAGCTGATGTGAAAAATCCATCTTACAGCAATTAAAGTGCGATTTCGCTAACCGCGGTATTCTGAGGCAAAAAATCCCCGTTTAAAGCATATTGTTATCTCTGTTTTGTCAAATATAATGACAAGGATGTCGATATGTTTTATACAGAGTTTTTGGTCTAAGAAACCAACGGTAACTATATGCGAATTAAACTTATTTTTTTTATATTTTACAGGTGAAAAAACAGCAATAGGTACTTTTACTAATGTTATAACCCAGATACAAAATCTACCAACCATGGAATTCGGACGTAAATTCAGGACTCCTTGTAAGACTGGGAACAAATGCGGAAAGGTTGAAGTCTATTGTTATTTTTTAATGAATAAACATAATTTATTTGTCCACTTTTGTATTACACTTATTTTTTTAATAACATTTTTATTGCAGGTAATAAAAAGACTTATGGTACCAAAATTGGCACAACTGGAGAATACAATTATGGGTATAATGAAAGAGCTGTCAAAAATGCCTCCCGGTGCCCGACTGCCCGACAAATATACTAAGACGGAACCGATAAAATTATTATTGGATCAAAATTATAAGTAAGATTTTAAATTAATAAATCATTTACAATTATACGCTATATGTATTACTAGATTATAGTTCGTAAAGGAGTAAATTACAATAATATTGCCATCCATCTGTCATTTAAAAAAATAGAGACAATTTTTTTTTCTATAATTTTTCAGCAAGGTGACATTTACGTACAGATTAAAAAATAGTCCTTTTTCTCTACGTAATGTTTGCTATAAATTTTAACTTAACTTAGAAAATATTAATTTGTTTTTAATGTTATAGAGAAGACGTATGCATGGACAAATTGGAGTCTTGTTTGAAAGAAGATAAACGACGCAAGAGGATCCTGAAAAAGTTATTCTTTAAGAAATACAACGCAATGCGACAGGAACTTATCGGTTATGGTGGAAGACGACTTTGGGGAGGAGAAGGGAACTTGTTCTATAAATGATGAATAACTATTAAGCATGACTTTATTTGATATTTAAGTAAAATCTAAGAGAAAATTAAACTTTTATAAAATAAATCTTGTCTCATTTTTCTGGCCCAAAAATAATCAAAGTTTAGAGTTAAAATGTTATACTAGTTTGGTTTACGAAGCCAAAAATCGTATTACATCTGGGCCTTTGTCCTATTAAATAGGTATTGAGGCCTTTATTTAAAATATTATTTATTGGTAAAACAATTCTTGAATCAATATCTGGATATTCTCTTTATAACGTAAAGATATGCAATTATTATTATTTTACAATCGTTCTCAATTCATCCGAAATGGACAGATATTTCGTGGTTGATATACCAAGAGCTTAGGTTTTTTAGGCATTTTTGCATAATCAAGGGTTTTAGTAGGTCCTTTTTTGTTGATAGTTGCATAATAACTGCAAAACAATGTCTGCAGATTATGTTTTCTTCCTATTTGTAATCATTTTTCTCCAAAAACTCAAGTAATACAACCAAAAATTGTAATAGACGATTACAATTTTTGTAATTAGATAATAAAACGCCTTAACTATTGCTCTTGGGCACAGATAAAATTTCAATATTAGAAAAAAAAAATAAAAATTAAAATTAAATTAATTGGAATCCTTTAAAATAAGTAGAGGAATGGAGGAATTTATTTAACAATATTAGCATAATGATAGTATGACATTAGAATTGTTCAAGAGTTGTATTTTCGCTGCGTAAAATATTTCAATAAATGTTATATTGTTAAAAAAACAAAACTACTCAAAAACGTGTGGCAGTTACAGCAGAAAGTGGTGAGTTTTAGACATCGTGATTTTGTATTCACGTGTTTGTTTGTTACACAATAACATTGTGTACTAAGGTTTGCCGACAAGGAACAATAGCTGAGTTTTCGTAAACAATAATACATTTTACAAACTTTAAATCTAACGAAAGTTGCAAGTACTATACTGCTGAGTAACTACGGAACTTTTAGTCACTCTTATGAGGAAACTTTTCTAAGAATAGCTTATGCAATTATGACCTAATTTGATTACAAAAAGATATTGACCAATTCAGTACAAATCAGAACTTTTTTATCCTAGTTATTGAGAAATATATTAAAATGTGTGAAAAGCAACTGAAGCTTCAAATTGTGATAGTAATATTATGTGTATTTTTAAAAGGATTCCAAGCAGTTGATGATAGTAAGTATTCCAACTTGTGAAATAATTAAAAGTAAGTATGAAACCTCTTTCGATCAAACATCTAAATTAATTAAACAAAGGAAAATGAAATGTGTCTTTTGTCTATGGTTTCTGGTTAATCTTATAGATTAGGACGACAGAATATCCAAAAACTTTGAGACTGGGTTAAAATTTACCGCGGTTAATTACATATTATTTTTTATTTTTAAACAATTTATACTTTAATGATTATAATCATGAACATTTATGGTATGGAAATCTATTATTATAGCTTATTTTAGTGATGGCAACACTTCTTGTTAGCGCGCATATTTTAGAAGCAGCAACGTGTTTACCCCCGAGCGAGCAAGCGCCTGCGTGTATCGATAACACGCGAATATTTTGTTCATGCGTACGAAACATAAATTATACTTGTGATTTGTCTTAAGAAGCTATGTAGCCACACCATATTTTATAAGATATTCTCAAACATCTATTTTAAAGGTGAAATATGAAATGATTTACTTCGTACCTCGCCTTTACTACGCTCAGATAGGCAATGTTTATTAAGGCTTGTTTTAAATAAATCATTTTATTCCATTTCTGATTAAACATTTTAACGTTTAAAATGTCTATTACCAACTAAAGAGTTAGAATGTATTTTAATAAATTTGAACGTGATATTCATTGCCGTAACACATGTCTGCAAAAACATATAGCACTCATTCTCTTTGAAAAAAGAGAGAAAACAATATTTTTCTTAAAACGGTTTTGTCTATGGAATCTCCCGAATAGAACAATCGCTACACAATATTCATATCTTTAACACGTGGAAAACTGGCAGGAAACAGAAGTAATGTATTAATATCGTTAATTTCCTTATCAGGTCCCTTATTCACGGTGACCAGAGCTCCTCGATACTTCGGCATTCTACAAGACCATCGAGGTCAACCACTCTCAGTAGAAGTTTCTGAAGAATACATGGATCAGGATTACATAGCTACTAACAGGTTAGACCTCATAATACTTTATTATAATAAGAAGTTCTTTGAATAGATTCTTCTCGAATGGCATTTTTTTTTCGAGAAGAAAAAAGTTTACTGCCTACTTTATCTAGAAGCTAGCATTCTTTAAAAGATGGAATTGATACGGTCTGAATAATACTGTATTAATTCCTTGTAGGTCAAAACAATTAAAAGTTTTCAGTTGTAGTGTTTACTTCTCGCTTAAAAAGAAAAATAAGGGCAGGTTGTTACTTTTTTGATGCGTAGAGGGTAAAAGCGCCATGCTTTTGATTATAAATCGAGAAATAATATTTATTTGCTTTTAAAATATTAATATAATCTATAACGATTTTGATGTAATTCCAGGAGACGACATAGGATTGATTGGAATAAGTAAGTATTGCAGATTTCTTACTTCGCAAAGTAGCATTTTTATTCCTTGACTGTTTTGCATATAATTTTTTTTCAGGACTCCATTGGATATGGATGATTTCGATGATGACGAAACAGAAGAAACTTTCGATGATAAAGACAAAGATGTCAAACTACCCTCCAAATTTAATCTCCAAGCTGGTCCAGTTTGATTTAGAATTTAGTTCTTAAAGGATTTTGTTACAATGCAGATTTAATCTTCATGAAGTAGATATGAATAATTAAAATATCAAAATAAGATTGATTTATTTTTTACTTTTTACCTATTTATTTGAAAAAATGTGATGTCCACATAAAGTTCTGGTTTGTAAGATGCATAATCTGTTAGGCTGTCAGATGTTATAAGCTTAATCCGAAGTAGGTTTTACTCGGAATATAATGTTTAAGGATTTATTCAACTTTAGAAGGAAATAGACAAAGTCGATTAACATTTACTTAATGTATTGACTAAATAAAAAAATAGAAAATCACATTTTACAATAAAAAAAAAAACAAATCAATCCAAATCGCTGTAGATATTTTCGAGTTTTCTTTCGTCTGAATCTGGGATTGCTCCACCTGGGAATAGAGGCATACGAGCTACCTCCATGGACTCCTCAGAATAATCAGCTGATTCATCTGAATATTGTTCTTCGAGGTGGTCCTGGTATATCTTCTCACATTCGCTCGGATGTTCACTCTTTATCACGCTAGGATGGTAACCAATCGCCTCAATCAAACCAACCGTTAAGTACGGAATTTGAGTTGTTATTTCGAAATGTTTATCTGTTGGCCAGAAATGCAGAATCTTAAAAGCGATCGAAATTGTGGGATATTCATAACAACTAAAAGTGAATTTGGAGTTCACCAAAGCATGCTTGAAAATTGTTAGTCGATCTGAATATGCGAAACATTCAATTTGCTTGGTTACTTTCATAAAATTTTTAGGGCAAACGCAAGTTATTCTTAAATGTTAGCGATACCCAAAGAAGTATTAGAGACCAGTTTTATTTAACATATAATTGGTTTCTTACACTTTAAATAAATAATATGGAAGGAAGTAACAGATAGGGTATCGTTTGAAATAACTTACAGTCAATGTGATCCGGTATAACCACAGTAGCAACGGTCTTCGCATGATCTTCTTCGTAGTAGTCTCCAATAATTTCTATTCTAGGACCGCCGTGCACTTCTTGCCACTCCGGTTTCTTGGTACAGTCCGGCTCCAAATGCCGACGGCCGTGGCCCCGGTGGACGTTGGGCGGGGGTATTTCTGTCAATGGAACGAAGCTCTGCTTCACCTCGTTACCAACTGGCTTTACCTTTTTGAGCCTAAAAGAATGAGATTTAGAAATATGGTACGGAGAACTTTAAATATGTAATTGTTTTGATTAATTTAAAACGTCAAAAGTGGATAAGGGTACGGATTTCCGATCACGGGGTCGGGGGTTCGATCCCGCCATTCGACTATTATCGTAAATCATATCCTAGCACAAGCCTAGAGCTTAGTTGGAATGGTAAAAGAAATAATAGTACACTTACAAAAAAATCCTAAAGCCTAGTCAGAGATGGATAAGGGAGTCACGAAATGACGAATGATCGATCTCGAGGACGAAAATCAAGTACAACGATCCTAATACAGAGTGAAATAAGGACAGGGATATGATGATGAATACTTTAACGTCTTCTGGTGTCTTCTTATGAAAAAATACACATTTATATGCATTAATTTATATGACTTACTGGTCATCGGATGGTCTGACTTTTTCCTTTTTCGTTTTTCTTACCGGATATGTTGGTGCAAACGTTTGAGCACGTGGTCTATGTTGATAGTCATCATGAAGACTTAGGATCCTGAGTGAAAAATTAAACATTTTAATAGCAGCAATGCTATATCGACATTTCAAACTTCAAGTAGTAAGTAAAGTAGTAGAAGAAGTTGGATTCTTGGATGGAAGTTTATTCTATAGTTTACTTTAGTGATAAAGACATTTGAAATTGATTGACATTTGATTTCCCAAGTTTTCTTCTTTTTTTTGCACATTTAACCTGACAATTACTGCTCGTTAAAATATATAGAAATACACATGTAAATTATCTTCAAAGAATGTACGAATAAAATTCACTCACTTGTTCACAATAACACTGCCTCGTATTTCAGAATTCACATATTGGTTTAGCAAGCAACTGACGAGATAGATTAATATTTTCATTGTTCTGAACCAGCTGGCATGTTTCCACGCGGTAAATAAGACAAAAGTGTTTAGGATTGATCTTTTAAAGCTCGTTCAGTTATCAGTAGTTATCTGGGTTCATTGCAACAATACCGGCCGGGTATTGTTACAGGCACAATGGTACAGGTGGCCGATGATCTTTTTGTTGTAGAGCCACGTCACGACTGCCAGTCTGATTGTGATTGCTGCACTGGTACATTTGGATATCATGGTGTTTTCTGAGTGTCTTAAGTATAACATAAATTATTTATTTAATTTCCACTATTTCACTTTAGATTTAAGGAAAACCTAATAAAGTTATATTATTTTTAAGTGACCAAAAAAGAAGAAAGTTATCAATTCACCTATATTTTGTTATATTTGTACAATAATTACATTGTATCGATTTAAGTTGTTTGCAACAGGATTTAGAATCTACTTTTTTTAATAACTTAACGAAAAAAGATTTGTTGATATTAAAAAAAAAACTCAGTATTTGTAATGCTATACAAATGTAATATTAAAAGAATCTGCTCTTCTTCTTCTTGTAGACGACGGGGTCCAGGTGCCAGGTCTGATTGCCGCCACAAGAGACCAGTGTGAAGCAACCACCGTACACAATCGGCGGGTCAGTATCTGGCACGCAGATGTTGTCCTGGCAGAATGTTGCGGTGCCTGAAAACCGCGAATATTTATCGATCATTATTCCTATCTCTGATCTTCCAAAAGGAACCAAGGGGATGCCAATATTGTAACTAACCAATTAATAAGTTTAGCATTGCGTCTTTTCTTTGAAAAATACAGTATTAAATATTGAGGTCTACAGTACCGTCTACTTTTCATCATAAATTGGGAATAAATTTGAAACTTGGTCCAATTACTTACCAACATATCCAGTGGGACGGGCCTGTCGTTTATTCTTCACGTAATCTACCACAGCCTTAGAGAGTGCATAGAAGTGCTTGCTGGCTTTGTACCGCATCTTGGCAAGTGCCATGTCACAGTCGCTCTTGTCCGCTCTACAGTGGTACACCAGGTTGCGTGTGTTGATCTTAATCATTTCTTCTCTTAAGACTTGGTACTTGGTATCGGTGTGCAGGAGTTGAGCGAAACGGACGTTGACTAAATGTATGTGATATGTAAGCAGTTATAAAGAGATACGAAGAAATTGAAGGTCAAGTTGGAAGTAACTGCCGAGTAACTAAAGAGTTCTTATTGGATTAGGATTAAATTAAATGTCAACCTTCTAGTAACTGAAGACTCAGAAAATACTAAAGTACTAAATGTAATTATAAGTATTCTAGATTTTACAAAAAAAACTTACGTCCAGCACCAACCAAATATCCATCAGTTAATCCCACATAGTTAGCTAATTCTGATAAAACATATAACAATACAAAAGATTTCATCTTAACAGATGCTGTACCTATAGGTAAATAAAAAATATGACTCGTATTTGCAAGTAGCAAGTTTGTGAATTTTATAGTCCAATTACTTTTAAAATAATTGGTGATTAAGTAATTCTGTGATTTGTGACTAAGAAAACAATTGTAGCATAAATACCAGACTGGTGTTTTGTAATAAAGAATACATACGACTGTATACTGTTCTCTGATTAATTCCTCATTGAGTTCTCATCTTATTATACATAGCGAATATGTTGTACAAGTTAAAAAATTAATAATGATTGTCTTATCATTTGTATACATGAAGAATATACAAACTAACATCGTGAAAAGATCCTGCTCCAAGCTTTAAAACCTTAAGGCTTGGAATAGGACACGACCTACTTTAAGTAGACAGTTGACATTCGCCGTACACTGACCGAAGTTAGCTGTTGTTAAAAATGCTATCTGTAAAACGCCGACTGCTACCGCTGCACTCGAAGTAGTCCGTGTACAGAGGATCTTAGTTGCGTGAGTCAGTTGACATCTGCGCAGCACTTGGATCATTTAATTACCCGCCGGCTTGTGATTAGATAAGCATTGTATTCACATTTCACGCTTCAACAATAATCAGCCGCTACACCTTTTATGGAGACAGGGATTTTGATGCAGACCTAAGAATGTTTTAGAGGTTATGATATACGTATTCATTTATTTATCATATTTTTAATATAGTACATTTCATATTCCAAAAAATATATATATACAAAACATATTAAAAAAAGAACACCACGGCTGCGGAATTATTATATTATATATTTTTGTGTAGAGTTAAGTTTTTTAATTTGTAAGTGAACCTTGTTAATTTTATTTAAACTGCGAATTTCTTAAATGACTCAAATTTTTTTGGTCTTTGCGTCGTAATTAAGATATTTTTTGGCAAAAAATTTATTTCCCATCATTTATTCATAACTAACTTAAAATAAAATAAAATTCTCATCTTCATTTTTAATTCAATTTACTGTCGTATATTTTAATGTTGGTAGCTCTACAAATGCATAGTTCTATACTTGTACAATACCAGTCGACAAATACCATACTGTTTCCCTCCCTGTAGTAGGCTGGGCATACAATCTACGCAATTGATCTTCCACGTACAGCCAGTTTACTATTAAGCTGATACTGCTTAATAATTATAAAATAACTAAACACATAGAATACTTAATTCTGTTTAATATAAAACATAATCCTTGCATTGAAACAAATAGTCTATTATACTGTCATTTTTAAATGTATCGTAATTCGTAAAAAAGAGTCTTTATTGCAAATCAGTGGGGCCAACTTTCGTATGTTTGTCATAACTACCAACATTCGCATTCGCATGTTGGTAGTTATGACAAATATGACAACGCATTCAGATAATTTCGGGAGTCGGTTAAAAAGAAGAGGAAGGCACTTACAATGTATGAAATAAGAGTGTTACAAAACAGACATTTATACAAATTGCACACGTCATCTCACGCACTAATTGTACGATGAAATAATACATCATCGGCTTATCTGGTTGTTGGAAATCGCAAAGATATTGCGGCGCCAATTACGACCAGCCATTGGAGTGCATTGTGGTATTTTGTCGGTGCGGACCACGCCGCGCCGTTTTGTTGTCAGATTTCATAGGATAATATTGATTTATTGGCATGCAGACAGAATATTTTCAATAAATAGGAATTAATTTATATTATTTTAAATATATTATACTCGGTCTATGTTATTTCAGAATATCTTAATCAACGTATTACGTTTTTTTTGTTCAACGAGTACAATCGGAAAAGATAAAACTAATATTATTGCTGTGGAAATATGAATGCATCAAAAACTATTTAAAGACCGGACCACAAAAGTCAAAATCGCGTCTCACTATTCTTTCCCGAATACGTCCTTCATAGTGATCACGACCGAAATATTTTTTTCTTGGTTCATGCACTTCAGACGCCCTTGTAATTATTTAATAATCTAGTAATTGTAGTACTATATATAGCTAGTGGTCGCCCGAGACCATCCGAGTTGAAAAAAAAACTTTAGTAGCCTACGTATGTGTTCTTCCAGACTGTGTTCTATATTTATGCCAAATATTAGCAAGATCCGTGCAGCCGATCTGGAAATAACACCCATCCATTCATTCAAACATTCGCATTTATAATATTAGTAAGATTACTAGGAGTCTGCGAAAAATAATTATAGATAGATTAATATTAGAGTTAATTCTGTCTTCCAAAATTGGAAGGACCACACATAGGGAACTAAATTATTGATGTTACTAAATATAAAAGCAACGTACGGAGCTATATTTTATTCAACACACAGCCTAAGATTATTCGAAACGTCCCGTAATCGCAGTGGGTGTCTTTCAGCGTTTGATGGATGGACAACCAGACGTACGTTTGCTGTTGCACGTAGATTTATAGCTGGGATATCTATTAAACTTGTTACCTTATGTTAAAACTTAACATAACTATATCTAGTAATAAATAGAAAAGTAAGCGATTTTAACTCTTAAGCAAAAGCCGATAAGGTGTTTGTTCTTTTTGTTGTGTGTAAGAATAAGTTTGCAATTACTTGTATCTGTTCGGAGGTCGCGTCTTAATGCGATTTTATTAAATATGATTAGCTTACGACTTTGTAAGAGTAATAAGTAAGGCCTAAGTAAATCATTAGAATCTTTATCTTAACTAAAAGTGTAAAAATGGTTATTAAGGGGAAGCGTTTGTTTGTTTGTTTAAACGCGCTAATCTCAAGAACTGGTCCGATTTGAAAAAATATTTTTTTGTTGGATAGTCCATTTATAGAAGAAGACTTTAGGCTATACAACACGCTGCGGCTAATAGTTTTTTTTCAATTCCGCGCGGACGCAGTCGCGGGCGACAGCTAGTGTTACATATGTACAAAAAATAATGTTTTATATAATAATTTAATTTATATCTTTTGTTAGATATTTCATCAGTGAAAACCAACGGTTAACTTCAATGAATGCTATGTATATATCACGAATTACTAAAAGGATCTTGAATGTAATTACGTAAATGATATTAAATAGCTTTCCCGTGTACAGTCACGTGCGATGCGGTGCGCGGTGTAATGGGGTGAGACGGTTATCATCGCTATTGTACTGTGTACTGTGTTAAACTGTGTAATGTGTACAAACAGATACAGGCCACCAACATTGTTTGCACCAAGCGTTGGTAAAGGCGGCAATTGTAATCAAACTGCTAAGATATTGAAGAGGTCCTTAGGTTTTTGGGTATAAACAATTATTTTTTTGATTGACGAGAAATGCAGTTTTGCATGGGCAAATGTTAAAGGAATTTGCTTCGCGTAATTTTGACATTATATATTACAACCTCCATGACTGATATGTCGTGAACATTAAATATTTTAATATTCAGTCGGGGATACTTATATTTGTACAATATTTTTTATTTGCAAAAATTAAGATCTCTAATAATGAAAATAATATGACTTATGGTTCTTCAAGAAATGAGCGTACTTTGTCTCATAGACCCACAACGTATTTCACGTTCTACTGTTGCGGTTGTCTATAGGCGTCGATGACCACCCCGGTATTTCTGCCACTCGTTTGATTTCTACTCGTAAAAAAATAAAAAAAAAATAAAAAAAAATTAATCGAATTAATTATCATCCATTAATATATCATCAATTTAATCGATAAGATACACCGGTAATATTGAATCATTTATTCGCATGTCCAGTGTCATTCATTGAATAAAAAAAAAAGATTCGTCGTGATTACGATAACGGGTTCCATTGTTGCTACGCGTATCCGAACGGTCCATCAGATTCGAATGGTGAAAAGAATGATAATAAAAACTTTCGGTTGGCATACCACGGTCGTGACGTCATCAGCGGTTGCTAGTCAGATAGTACTGAATGATATATTTAATTGCAAAATGGCAACAAAAATTATTAAATACATCGACCGGTTTCTTAATTTTTTTTTCTTTTGAGTAACGAACACTTGTGATTAATATCGTTTTCTACATCACAAATATTTGAAAAAATAGAATTCTAATTTCAAAAATTGAAGAGCTAGCAAATAAAATTTGTAGCGTATTAATTAATTGTAGTTATAATAAAAATGTTATATAGATTTTAAAATTATTAATATTTAAGATTTATACTCGATTATGCAGCGAGCGTATTCCGGTAGAGCAATCGAGATATTCGTGGTGATAAAAGAACATTATACCAGCTGTATTCGTGCTTCCTTCTCTCTGTCGATTGGAAACAGTTGCATAGATTTAAATAGGGCTTACTAATATTTTTCTTTCCCTGGATATCCTATTTCTACACGAAAACATATTAACACTAACGCGCGAACATTTCGCTAGCACGATGTAAGTCGACTGTAACGCCATCTAGTTAAACATAAAAAACATATTCCCTGAAGTCGAGGCCCAAATTTGATTAAAAATAAGCAGCAATCATTTTACGTTACTATATTACTTTGTCAATTTTTTTAACAAATGCAAGAATGTATGCAACATGTCCCGGAATAATATTTAAAAGCATTGTCACATTACACGTTATAAAAGCTTTGTTTACTTAGTAATCGGCTCGCGCCAAAGCTTTGTGTTACGTTTATGGCTTTATGGCCAATAAATAACGTTTAGAATGGCAAAGCAACCGTATACAATTAATTAGTCTTATCCCCTCCTATATCTATAATGTAGGCATGTTACATACGCAATACGTATTTCCTAATGAATTAAGGGAATTTAACTTTTCAAAATATCATCGAAAAACGAAAAGGATTAAGAAAGAGTTAGTGAAAAATAAATTGTCGCTACTATTTCCTACGAACATCATTAAAAAAGGTCAAGGTTCATAGTCAAAGACCAAGTTAAAAGAAATTGGCAATTGCACGGTTTGTCACTTTGTCAACTTTAAAAGAAAACTGATATATGGCTTTACAAGAGAAATATCTTGCAATAAAATCTCATTGATGGGAGTTCATCATATGAATACATAAAAAGAACTTTCTAGAAAAAGT